TTTCTTATTTTTCATAAACTTACAATATTTTTCGTAATTTTTGATATATTTTTCGCAAATTTAAATTTTTTTAAATGTTTCCATTTGTCCATAAAAATTGTTTTCTAATTTGTTGTTAAATTTCCTTTTTAATTTAATTCTCAAAATTTTTGTTTTTGTTTAAATTTAAAATTACTATTTTGTTTTTTACTTTGGTTTCGAAAATTTGGTTCAAAATTTTTATTCTGCTTTTAAAATTATTTCGAAAATTTGGTTCAAAATTTTTATTCTGCTTTTAAAATTATTTTGGATTCGAAAATTTAGTTTGGAAAATATTTTTATTTTACTTTTAAAATTATTTTGCTTTGGAATTTTTTCATTCTGCTTTTAAAAATTATTTTGATTTCGAAAATTTAGTTTTAAAAATTTTCATTCATTGCTTTTAAAATTATTTTGCCTTATAAAATTATTTTTTTCTCTCTTAAAACTTGGAAACTTTTTTTATTTTTCATTTTTTTTTTTTTTTGAGAGAGAGAGGAAAATTTGTTTTAAAATAATTTTGAAAATGGACCCCAAAATAGTATTTATAATAGTTAAAAGAGCTTATTCTTATATTATGATGGAAAAATTCACTAGGCACTAAAGCCTAAACAATCTACAATATTTTCCATCGACCCGTGATAAGATACAAAGTGATTCCAACTTCACTTTGCTTTACAGTTCTTGAGAGATTATAAATTCCTAATAATATAATTTTAAAAACTGAGGTTCGTGTCGCGCAATCTTTTTTCTAAAAAATTATTTTTAATTATTTTGAATTTAATTTCAAAATAAATTTTAAAATAAATTTCAAACTATATTTAAAAATATATTTGAAAATATATTTGAAAATACTCGTTGAAAATGAAGGAAGACTTTATTTTTATAATATGTATACATATAGAAAGAATTTTTTTTTGCATTGACCTCAGATTTTTTGCAAATGTTGCAAAAAACGTGATATTTTTATTTGGAAGAACTTCGTTATACAGAGGAGTAGAAAAATTTTCTTTTTACTTAGAAGACATTTAGAAATTTATCACAAAATTGTTTTTAATTAAAATCATTTTCTAAAATTCTACATTTTTTCAGGGAAAATTAAAGTCAATTCGAATTTTTCATCGAATTGCATCGACTTTAACATTTCCTTAAGTAAACAAAAAATTAAAATAAAATAATTAAAATTCGAATTTGAAAAAAAAACATTTAGAATTTAAGTAGATTTTGTTTTTAGCGGTTTAAGAAAATTTTGAAAATTCGAATTTAAAAGAAAAACATTTAGAATTTAAGTAGATTTTGGTTTTAGCTGTCAGACACTTAAATATCAGATACACTACTTGTGCAATCAAAATTATCAGTGAATTCCTAATTATACTAACACACTTGGACTAATTTATATTCTACTTTTACCGCATGTAATTATAATATATATTTATAATACTAATAATATTATAATGTATAGTTCAACAGTATCAAAGCTTGTGCAAGTGCAGGATAAATTATATCATTTATGTATTTAATATACATTTTGTTCTATGCACTTGAACTGCAATAAAACACTACAAAATCGTCTTAAATTTACTATTTTACGGGAAGAGTAGGAGATTCTTTTTTTTTTTACATAGTTTTCGTTTCTCATTAAAAAAATTTTTTTTTTTCAAATTAACAATTTCTTATTCGCTTTGCTTCAGTCAAATATACTTACGTAATTTTTTTTTTATTCTGAACAATAATAATTATCTCCAGAATGGAAATAAAAAAAAACAATAGACTCGAAAGTTGCTGCTCAGTAATTAATTAGGTTAATTAAAATGTACTGCGAAATATTTCTGAATGTTCAAATGAACGAAATATTTTCTCAAATAAAATAAATATTTCTCAAAAATATAAAAATATATTTATTTTTGCAATAAAAATATTTTCGAAATTTGATTTTAATAAAAAGTTAAAAATTTAAACAAATATTTTGAAAGCTTATAAATTAATTTTTAATATTTAACACAATATTTTAATAATATTTTTAAATAAATTTCATTTTTTATAATATTTAAACTATGTAATAAAAAATTCACTGAAAAATAAAAAAAAAAAAAACTGTAAATAACACATTTTGAATTTGAAATTCAACTTTATGAATAATTAATTTTTAATACTTAGCACAATCTTATTTTATAATAAAATTTTAATTATGCGAGAAAAAATGCAATAGAAAAAAAAAATGTAAATAAAAATATATTTTTCTCAGAGTTTAGTAAATTTTTTTATTTGTTTTAAATCAAAATTTCACTCGGCATAAATTTTAACTAAAGAATATTTATTCGAACTGAATAAAATTTATATAAAAAAAGTCAAAAATTTTTTGCGCAAATGAAAATTTAATTGAACCAAATTATTATATTTCTAACAAATAAAACTTATTTGAACAAAATAAAGTTTATTCGAACCAAGAAAAATTTATTTCATCTGAATAAAATTTATTTTGAAACAAATGAAATTTTCTTGATAAAAATAAAATTTATTCGAACGTAAAAAAATATTTATTTGAATGAAATAAAATTTATTTGTTAATTTAGTTGGCTCCGAGTCAAAAAAATTTTCTCCGGTTATAAAAATTAATTTTTAATACTTTGACACAATATTATAATATTTTAATAAAATTAGTTGGCTCCGAGTCAAAAAAATTAAAAATTAATTTTTAATTCTTGACAAAATATTATTTTAATAAAATTTGAATTTGAAGAGAATGTAAATAAAATTCCGTTTATTTGAACCCGCAGAATTTTAGGATCATTTGAAAGTTCATAAATTCCTGTAGTGTAAAATATTAATATATTAATTATCAATAATACTAATAAATACTAATAAATATATCAATAATGTAGAGTATAAATTATAAATACAAATATAAAAATAATATATCAATATCCTAATCATATTCAATTCATATATTAATTCCATAAGTCAATATTATTAATATTGATCTTTTATATAAGTTAAATATATTGATAAGAGTAATAAACATTTCGAGTAAAAATGGAATAAAAATATTCATTGTTTTTGGCATTTAAATAGAATTTTCTGTGCCACAATATATATTCTTTTTTCTTGAATTAAATCCGGTTTTTATGCAGTCAGATCGTTTTAATATCAATTTTTTTTAAGTATTTAAAAGTTATTCTTTTTTTTCTTGAAATAATTTTCTTAAAAGTAGGAAAGATTGTTTAGAAATCGTCGGAGAAGAAGAGAGAGAAAGTTTCCATTTACTCTTGAATACTGATAGTTGGTTTAAATATTGGCACAATATGAGCAACTCAATTTTTTTCTTAATTTATACGAATTTTTATTTTTTGTGAATTTTCATTTTCTTAATTTTGAGTTTTCAATTTTTATACCTATTTAAATAATAATTTAAATAATAAATAAATGAAAATTTCATTTTTTTAGGTTTCAATGAATTTTAATTTGCTTAATTTGAATTTTTTCAATTTTATAATTTATATAAATTTCTTTTGAAAGGTCTTTGAAATTAGCGTCGACGCTGAAAGTCGAAAACAATTATTTTTCCCAAATCCGAAAAAATACAAACATATTTGTTCATGTTCATGTTTTCTAAATTAAAAATGACCGAGTGATAAAATCAATTCAATTATATTATAAGAATATTGTCACTGTGACTTCATCAAAATCATTTTCATCATTTTAATTTAATTTTTATTTTCTAGAATTTTAAATTATTTTTTATGAAAATATTTGAATTCCTTAAAAAAAATTTTTTTGTTCATAAAAATAATTAAATTCCTGTGAATGTTTTACTATTTATGAAAATAATTAAATGTTTGCATACAATTTTTATTAAAATTTTTTTTTAATAATTGAATTCTTCTTGGAAAATGTTATTAAAATATTAGATATTAAAAATGATTAAAATTAGAAAATTTTTTGAAAATAATTGAAATTTTTGAACATAGTTAATTTTTTTGAAAATAATTGAATTCCTTAAAAAAAATTTATTATTTATGAAAATAATTGAATTCCTGTAAAATTTTTATTATTTATGAAAATAATTAAATGTTTAATTAATTCATTCATTTTGGGAAATTTTATTAAAATATTAGATATTGAAAATCACTGAAATTAGAAAATTTTTTAAAAATAATTGAAATTAGGACAAGAATTTAATTAAAATTTTTGAAAATAATTGAACTTTGGAAAAGAATTTTGTTATTTATAAAGATAATTGGGATTTTTACGACAATTTTTTTCAATTTTTAAACATAGTTGAATTTTTTTTTTTTTTTTTTTTTGGAAATAATTGAATTCCTTAAAAAAAAATTATTATTTATGAAAATAATTGAATTCCTGTAAAATTTTTATTATTTATGAAAATAATTAAATGTTTGCATACAATTTTATTAACATTTTTTTTAAATAATTGAATTCTTTTTGGGAAATTTTATTAAAATATTAGATATTGAAAATCATTGAAATTAGAAAAGTTTTTGAAAATAATTGAACTTTGGAGAAGAATTTTGTTATTTATAAAGATAATTGTGATTTTTACGAGAATTTTTTTTAAATTTTGAACATAGTTGAATTTTTTTTTTGTTTTGAAAATAATTGAATTACCTAAAGAAATTTTATTATTTATGAAAATAATTGAATTCCTGTGAGTTTTTTATTTTTTATGAAAATAATTAAATGTTTGCATACAATTTTATTAACATTTTTTTTAAATAATTGAATTCTTTTTGGGAAATTTTATTAAAATATTAGATATTGAAAATCATTGAAATTAGAAAATTTTTTGAAAATAATTAAAATTAGGACAAGAATTTTTTTTGACATTTATGAAAATAATTGAACTTTGGAGAAGAATTTTATTATTTATAAAGATAATTAGGATTTTTACGAGAAATTTTTTCAAATTTTGAACATAGAATTTTAGAAGAAGAATTTTTTGTTGTTGTTGAAAATAATTGAATTTCTGCAATTATTTGTAATTTCTCCAAAATAAAATTTTTTTTAGTGTTTTCAACAAAAATTTAAATTAAAAAATTTTCAAATTTTATTATTTTTAAAATTGCTAATTTTATTTTAAAAAGGCAGTAAGAAGTTGCTAGTTCTCTAGATAAAGAAAAGACGTGGAATTAGTGACTTTTTCGTTTCTAAAAATCTAAAACAATAGCGTCAACCCTAACTTCATTGACATTTAATTTTGAAAATCCAGATTAATTTTTTTTTTTTGTTGTTACTGTGTAGGATTATTTTTTCTAACATTGATCGTCAGTTACTGTTTTGGTCTATTTTTTTTATTTATTTATTTATTCAAATAATCGATTAATTGAATTAATTAATTATTTCAATTTTCAATATTAAATTAATTATTTAAAATTCAATAATTTAAATTTTTTGTGTTTGTATAAAATAGAAGAAAAGAATTTAAAAATTATTATCAATAAAAAAAATCTTTCTCTTTCTTGATCTCCTTTCTTCTCCTTTTTTTTTGTATGTAAGTGTACATCGATTAGGCACGACATTATTCATTGAATCTAAAATGGTACTCCCAGCATATTTATTATATATGTTATTTTAATTATTTTTATTATTATTATTATTATTAAGGAAGTTAAGCATCTTCTGAGTGAGAGCTTTGAGAGCTACGTTTTTTCTTGTGGTTGTCATGATGATGATGATGATGATGTTGATGATGGCGGTGATGATTCTGGTGTTGACGAGCGCGATCTCCATTCGTTGGAGTATCAGTTTCTGGTTGATTTTCGTGACCTACCAGAAGGTCGAGTGTGGCTCGTGTTTCTGGTGATTCTTCGGAAACTGTTTGCGGCAACGGCGTGGCCAAGGGTGATTCACTTGACAGGGGTATGCAGTGTAAAACGTAACACCTAACAGCTGCCAATAGAATGCCTGCAAAAATTGTTTTCCGAAATAAAACAATTAATTCTCCCATCAAAATTTCATTTCATTTCGTTTATTTTTTATTTTTTTCTCTACTCTCTACTTTTTTCTTTTTTCTTTTTTTTTCTTCTCTATATTTTAAATTCCAATTAGTTTTAAATGTAGTAAAGTTAATTAAAAGTGAGCAACTAATAAATTAGTAGAAATTATTATTTATTAGTAAAATTTACTAATAAACTTTTTGCTTTTCAATTAGTAAAATTTTAATAATAAATTAGTAGAAATTTCTATTTATTAGTAAAAATTTACTATTAAACTTCATGCTTATGAATTAGTTAATTTTACTAATAAATTAGTAGAAATTAATATTTATTAGTAAATTTGAATAATTCAAAAGCAAAAAATCAGTCACTAATTAAAATTACTAAACAGTTCTACTAATTTAGATTTAGAAAGTAGAACAATATGTTTCTTTATTTTCAGTCAAAGTTAAAATCATTTTAACTCAGTGTATTCATTTATTTTAATAAGGCCGAAAATTATCAATGATTAAATTAATTTATTCTTTGTATAGAAATGGTGATAATTAATTTTTAATGACGAAGAAAATTTCAATTGTGTTTTCGTTCAGAAAATTTGTAACAATTTTTGAAAATTATATCAAATTTTGTATTTTTCTACTTTGTAGAATTAAATAGTCATAATTACTTTTTAATATATAGTATAAACATATAATGTTCTAAAGACTTGACATTTAATAGATAACATTAAAAATCAATTTTTACATATATACATAGTTTTTTCAAAATTTTTGTACACATTAAACAAATTGCCGTGAATAAATTTAGACTATTTATAATAATTACCCAGTGACAAAATATTTTTTATCTAAATTTTTTCAGTTCTTCTATTGTTTTCTATTAAAATAATAACACGCACTGAATATAATTTCACTAAAATTTTCAACGTTCAAATGATGGAATTTTTTTTTTAAAATAATTTCCAAAGTTACTGTATTCAATTGAAAAAAAACGTAATTATTCAAAATTTGTATAGACTAGAATTTTTTCTATTAATATACAAAGTAATAATAATTAAATAAAAAGTAAAAGAAGTAATAACAAAAATATTGACGTTCAAAACATTTAGAGACATAAAAATAGTAAATTCAAATAAACGATTACTTAACAAGAAAAATCCACTTAATCCAAATAATTATTTTTAAATAAATTTCCTTGTTACTTTATTGATATAAATCTTTATTTTATATTAATTAAATAATTAAGTAAATTTTATTCGAAATTTATTTTGACTGACTCGGAAAATTATTCCATGGCAATAATTTTTTCTCGATAATAATCAAGGAATCGAGTATTTGAATTGGATTTTTAAATAAATTGGTTTTTTCTAATAAATTAGATATATTTTAAATTAATTTAAAAAAATGAATAAATAAAAAATTTTTTTTTTAAATAAAAAAAAATGTGAAATAAAAAGTTGGATTGTGGTACGTTTGGAAATTATCTGAAAATTTACGGCGTAACGATTTCGATCGTATAGTGTATAATGGAATGACCTATTTGAAAATTGAAAGTGTATAATTTTTTTTATAACGCCGGGGAAAAAATATCAAAGCGAACTTACCCATAAGAAGCAAAGTAGCCCCAGCTATGAGTAAAGCAAGTCGGTGGTCGGTAGTTGTTGCTCCTGGAGCAAGCTGAACCAAACCGACCACAAGAACTATAGCTCCTAACAAAAGGCAAGATACCACCGCTTGTAAGCCGGAAATCTGAAAACCAAAAAAATGTTTATGCTATATATATATATATATATATAAAATTCAATTTTTATATTTTTATTTTTTAATAATTTTTTCATTCTTTCTTCAATTTCTACCTTTTTTCTAGTTCTTTCTAGTTTCTATCTGGTTTTTCTAGCATTTCTCTAGTTTATTTTTAGTTCTTTTTAGTTTCTCTCTTGTTTTTAACACTTTTCTAGTTTCTCTCTAATTTTTCCAGATTTCCACTAGTTTTTCCTATATTTTTACAATTTTTTTCAGTTTCTTTTAGAATTTTCTAGTACTTACTAGTTTATATCTAGTTTTTTCTAGATTATATCTAGTTCTTTCTAGTTTTTATTCAGTTTTCTTCGTTTTCTTATAGCTTTTCTCTAGTTTCTTTTCCAGTTCTTTCTAGTTTCTCTCTAGTTTTTACTGTTTTTTCTACTTCCCTACTATACTCAGTTGTTTCAAATTTTTTCCAGTTTTTATTTAGTTTTTTTTAACTTTTCTCTAGTTTGTTCTAGTTCTCTCTATATTTTCTTACTTTTTTCTAATTCTTTCTGTTTTCTATGTAGCTGTTTTGTACATTTTTATTTCAATTTTTTTCTAGTTCTTTCTAGTCTCTATCTAGTTTTTTCTAGCTTTTCTCTAGTTTTTAGTTTTTTCTAGATTTTTTCTAGTTTCTTCTAATGTATTTTAGTTCTTTTTTGTATCTTTCTAGTTTCTACTAGTTTTCTCTGTTTTTTGGTAGATTTTCTCTAGATTTTTAGTTCTCTCTAGTTTCTCTCTAGTTTTTTTCTACTTTGTCCAGTTTTTCTCCGGATTTGTCGTACTTTCTTCTATTTTTTTCTAATTTTTACAGTATCTTTCTAGTTTTTTCTGCTTATTTGTAGTTTCTATTCAGTTTTCTTATAGCTTTTCTCTAGTTTTTTCTAGTTTTGATTTAACTTTTCCCCAGTTTTTCTAGATTTTTTTTCTAGTTTTGATTTAACTTTTCCCCAGTTTTTCCAGATTTTTTTACATTTTTACTAGTTTTTTCTATTTATTTCTAATTTTTTCGAGTTTATTTCTAGTTTTTTTCTAGTTATATTTAACTTCTTCTAATTTTTCTGAAACTTTTTTCTAGTTCTTACTAGTTCCTATCTAGTTTTTTTCTAGCTTTTCTCTAGTTTTTAGTTTTTTATAGATTTTTTCTAGTTTCTTCTAATGTATTTTAGTTCTTTTTTGTATCTTTCTAGTTTCTACTAGTTTTCTCTATTTTTTGGTAGATTTTCTCTAGATTTTTATTTCTCTCCAGTTTCTCTCTAGTTTTCATAGTTTTTTCAAGATTTTTAGTATTAATTTTTTCTATTTCTTTCTAATTTTTTCGAGTTTTTTCTTGTGTTTTCAAATTAATTTCTAGTTTTATTTAATTTCTTCTAACTTTTTTCTAGTTCTTTATAGTCTCTATCTAGTTTTTTGTAGCTTTTCTCTAGTTTTTTAGTTTTTTATATAATGAACAATCTTACAAAGCCACAGAAATATAATTCACTTAGAATTTTCTTTGTAGATTGGTGGGGAATGCAAAGTAATCCAAAATCACATTGTCACAACTCACATTTATTTTGAACATATAAACGAACTACACAAAGCAACGATTTAATAATTTGTTTATAATATATAGAGTTGCACAATAAAGATTAATAGTCAGTTTAACACAGTCTTTTTTTTACTTCACATTCGTAGAGAGAACAACAGTTTCAAAAATTAATTAAATAAAATTATTACAATTTACACACAATTCATAAAATATAATTACAAATATAATCAACTAAGCTATTCAACGTCGGATCGAGTACTAACTCTCAAAATTTGGTTTCTCGTCGATATAATTTGTGAATGACTCACACGTCATTGTTCTATTACTACAATAGAATTGTCGAAATACATTTTCAATTTTAATTCTCGATATAATATTAATTTGCGCAGCAACATATAATGGAACTTTGATTTTCCGTCAGGCACCGGACCAAAACCTTGACGGAAAACCACAAAGACGGATATTCGAAAATAGAAGAATTTATGAAATTCATAACCAATATTTGTCCATATTTTTGACTTCCACATACAAACAAACAATTTTACCAAAAAAAACTACCTAATTAGTTAATTACTTTAAAATTTTTATCTAAAAAACTGTAATATCTTATATTTTCTTATTTAAAAATTAATTTTTTAACAAACAGTCTGTGATTTTTGTTATTTTTGTTTTCTCTAATTTTTTTAATTTCTTTCTAGATTGTCTCTAGATTTCACAGTTTTTTCTAGATTTTTAGTACTAATTTATTCTTTTTTTCTAATTTTTCCAGTTTTTTATATTGTTTTCTACTTTCTTTCTAGTTTTATTTTACTTCTTCTAGTTTTTTCTAAGTTCTTTCTAGTTCTTTATAGTCTCTATCAATTTTGTTGTAGCTTTTCTCTAATTTTTTTAGTTCTTTCTAGTTTCTATCTAGTTTTTCCAGATTTGCCCTAATTTCATCTATTTTTTTCTAATTTTTACAGTTTATTTCTATAGTTTTTTCTAGTTATTTGTAATTTCTATTTGATTTTTGTAGCATTTCTCTAGTTTTTTTATTTCTTTCTAGTTTCTCTCTGGTTTTTCAGATTTGCCCTAATTTATACTATTTTTTCTAATTTTTACAGTTTCTTTCTAGTTTTTTCTTGTTATTTGTGGATTCCATTTGATTTTTTGTAACTTTTCTCTAGTTTTTAGTTCTTTCTAGTTTCTCTCTAGTTTTTTTTCTAGTTTTCCAGATTTTACCTAATTTCTTCTATTTTTTTCTGATTTTGATAGTTTCTTTCTAGTTTTTTTCGAGCTTTTTTCTAGTTATTTGTAGTTTCTATTTGACTTTTTTGGAGCTTTTTCTAGTTATTTGTAGCTTCCATTTAATTTTTTTGTAACTTTTCTCTAGTTTTTTTAGTTCTTTCTAGTTTCTCTTTAGTTTTTCTCCACTTTTTACAATTTTTTCTAGATTTTTTCTAGCTTCTTCTATTTTTTCTAATTTTTTCCAGTTTCTTCCGATTGTTTCTAGATTTTTCTATTTTTTTCTAGTTTTTCTCTTATTATTCTCTATTTTTTTATTACACTTTCGGCTTTCCAAAGAATCATCGCAATACTAGTGCACAACTCTTTCTTTAAATTTATAGTCCCTTTAGCTCATTCCCATTCTTTAAACTCTTATTTAGTACCAATTTAAAACCTTCCAATAAGGAAAACTGTACCAAGTTTAAGTACACTTTTGTAATTTCAAGCATTATTTAAATTTAAGTCTATATAAGCAGTAGGTTGTAAAAATCAAATATTTCCACACTTGTGAAAATCCTTTTTTTAATTTTTTTCTTTCATTCTTTTTTGAATAAAATTAAATTTGGAAATCTTCCAGCTTTTTAGAAATATACAGTATATATTGTAATTTTGCTTCATTTTAGTGCACTCTTCTGGAAACATTTGCCGCTTGAAAGTGTTCACAAGTTAATGCATATAAGGGTTGAAAGCTTTCTCACATCCCTCCTGAGGTTTTTAAAGTAGACATATACGTATCTCTCTCATATACATATATGCATATTTTCCATTACGCACACATTGCTTGGCAGTGTGCTAAACATTATTTATTCGCTGACATGATTCTTTTCTTCAATTCACATGCATAGATTTTGATAATTCGATTATGAAAAATACAAAAATCGATCTTTAATGTCCAGCTTTTCATTGTATTCAAATTTTCATTTTTTATTTTTGCTTTCACTTTGATTTTTATTTTTACTTTACTTTTATTTTTACTGTGCTGTATTTTTATTTTCACTTTGAAAAATAAAAAGTGTTGGTTGAAATGAAAATGAGTATAAAAATCTATCAAAATAAAAATTAAAGTGAAAATGAAACTGAAAATAAAAAGCTATCAAAGTGAAAATGAAAATGAGTATAAAAATCTATCAAACTAAAAATGAAAGTGACAAAGAAACTGAAAAAACCGAAAGTAAATTAAAAAATTTTATTTAAATAAAAATAAAAACTAAACTGAAAGTAAATAAACCTGCCATGGTGTAAATGAAAATAAATATAAAAATTATCAAAATAAAATTTCAAGTGAAAATGAAAGTCAAAGTAGAAATTTCCACAATCAACCCCCTGGTGAAGTTTTTATCAGAAACTGAACGAAATGGAAAAGTTTTTAATAAAAAATAAATTAAAACCTTATTTTATTAAAAAAGTTGTAATAAATTTTTACAAACAATTTTTTTTTTAATTTCTTATTTATAATCCAGAAAAATTGACAGGCGTTCATTTAATATTCTCCAATATATAAATGTGGAAAAAAACATTTTAATTCCTACCGGAGGGAATGAATAAATGACTTCTGATTTTTTTTGTTTTTTTTTTTGTTTTAAGGGGCGAAGAAGAAAAAAAAAGTTTGTTCGATGTTGTATTGTGCTATAAAAAATTTACCTTGCCGCATAGATAAAGCTCAGGCATTGGATCAAGGTGAGCATTATGAGTGTGTGGACTTGGAGTAGGTGGTGATCCCTGAAGGGGTGGCATCCATTGGCCCCCTATGTAAAGCTGGCTTGGTCGCTTCAACCTTTTCTCTTGTCTTCTCCTCTCGTGACGAACAGCCACGGCTGGCATTGCTCCGATCATCCTAAATTATTAGAGAAAAAAAGAAAAATTTCAACTTCATTTCATTTAAATTAACCACCTATTTTCTTTCCTATTCTTTCGTATATCTATATATCTTTCCTATTCTACAGCTGATTTCCACCCATTTTCTTATTAAAGTTCATATCAAATATTTTATATAAAAAAAGTTTGTCTTGTATGAAATCGTTTTTTTTTTAAATTACAATATTTTATATCTGTAATTTAATTAAACTGAACTAAATTAATTAAAAAAAAGAAATTTTTTTTAATAACTTTCTCTCTTAATTTTGGATTAGTAAAAATGTTGACTAATTTCAATTTATTTACTGACTTTTTGTTTTTGAATATTAGTAAATTTTGCTATTAAATTAGTAGAAATTACTAATTGTTAATAAAATTGACTAAAAAATATTTAAATAATTAAAAAAAATTTAAAAGTAAAATTTACTAAATATTAAAATTTTTACTAGAAATTCCTAATTTATTATTAGAAATTACTATTTATTAGTAAATTTTACTAAACATCAGTAAAATTTACTAAATATTAAAATTTTTACAAGAAAATACTAATTTATTAGTAAAATTGACTAAATACTGAAATCTTTACGAAAAATTACTAATTTATTAGTAAAATTTACTAAATACTAAATTTTTTGCGAAAAATTACTAATTTATTAGTAAATTTTAGAAAATATTAATAAAATTCACTAAATATTGAAATTTACTAAATACCGAAATAATTGAAATAATAAATTAAAAGAATTTACTAAATATTGAAATTTTTACTAGAAATTACTAATTTATTAGAAGAAATGATTAAATTATTAGTAGAAATTACTATTTATTAGTAAATTTTTCTAAATATTAGTAAAATTTTGGTAATAAGTATTGAAATTTGTACTAGAAATTAATATTCATTATTAAATTTTCCTAAATATTAATAAAATTGACTAAATATGACGGGTTCCACGTCAAGTGACCCAGGTCAAAAATTTACATGGAATATTTGAAAAATTTGTAGTTTCTTTAAAACAAAACGAAAATACGTTTTCTATTTTGGGTTTTGCTGCTGTTTTTCAACACTTTCTAATAGTGTGAACAAATGTAGAGAAAAAAAATTGTTTGACCTTGAAAAATTAAATTAAAAAATAAAATTTCATTTTTTTATCAAATGGGCAGTTTGTATTTTTTTAAAAAAAATTTTATCATAAAGGTGAGGTTTTTTCCTAAAAAAAATGTATAGGTCAAAACGTGGGACAAGAACTTTTAACTAGTCAAATTAAGCATTTACTTCTGCCGTGCACCGTCCCACAGTGGAATTTTTTTTACAATTTACTATTAAAAAATGTCTATAGCTTACAATTTTTAACCGATTTGAGTGTTCTTTGTCTTAAGTTAAAGGGGAATAAATTCTTAAGACATCCTTCGAGGCAGATTTTGGAGATTTTAATTATTTATAATTTTTTTTAAATCAAAGTTAACAAATTAATACACTTTTTTAAAAAAAGGAGGTTTATTTTCTTATTTCGTTGATGCACATGATCTAAATCAATTTAAATTCATCCAATATGACCACCAGATAATTAATAAAGCATAAAATAATTTATTTCAATTGTTATAAACAATATATAGCCCAACAACGAGCAGGGGCGGTGGATTGCAGAAGTAAATGTTTATTTCGACCAGTTAAAAGTTCTTGTCCCACGTTTTGACCTATACATTTTTTTTAGGAAAAAACGTCACCTTTATGATAAAAATTTTTTTTTTAAAATAAAAACTGTCCATTTGATGAAAAAATGAAATTTTATTTTTTAATTTAATTTTTCAAGGTCTAACATTTTTTTTCTCTACATTTGTTTACACCATTAGAGAGTGTTGAAAAACAGCAGAAAAACCCAAAATAGAAAACGTATTTTCGTTTTGTTTTAAAGAAACTACAAATTTTTCAAATATTCCATGTTAGACCAAAAATTTAAACTTTGACCCCCTCCAGTTTTAATATTTGTTTAAATAAATTAATAATATTTGGTATTTTTAATTGTATCTAATAGGACTACTGTTTCTGCAAAATTTTAACCCGATCCCAAACATTTAAAATTTTGACCTGGGTCACTTAACGTGGAACCCGTCATATATAGAAATTTTAACTAGAAATTGTTAATTTATTTGTAAAATTTACTAAATACTGAAATTTTTACGAAATATTACTATACTTCATTAGTAAAATTTACTTAATATTGAAATTTTCAATAGAAATTACTAATTTATTAGTAGAAATTACTATTTTTTTAGTAAATTTTACTAAATATTATTTTTACTAGAAATTA